TCCCTTTTACACTGTTCTTTGCAGTTCAGGACCCCCACAGGACCACCACAGAGCAGGTATTATTTGGGTGGTGGATCATTCGCAGCACTGCAGTGACACTGATGTGGTGGTGTGTAAGTGTGTGTTGCGCTGGTATGAGTGGATCAGACACAGCAGGTGTGAGGTTGTGTCAAGCTTGCCGGTAGGTGTGGAATAAGGCTTGTGTTATGAGATGACATCACCTTGTAACAGAGAAAAGGGCTGGAATTCCAACAAGGCATTTCAGTCAGCTGAGAAACATGGTTTCTAGTGGAGAGTGTTACACCCTCTGGCATATACTTTGGGCTTTGTGACTTTGCAGATTGTTTACATGAAAAAAAACTATATAACACACCAAAGAGGAGGAAAAAAAACAGAAAAGCAGAATAGGTCCCCTTGAATGTTATGGCTGATCAGTGTAAATTAAGATTTGATCACTTTATTGTCCACCCTCCTTGTTTGAGGAGGTTATATCAGTCTACCACATTTAGTTTTGCAGGGCAAGACAAGAATACACATCTGGGGACAACTTGTTAAACTTGTGGTGCTGGGTTACAACAAAATTCACTGCTATCAAGGCATCGCCCCCTCTGAAACACTGAATTCCTCTACAATTGATATCAAAAGAAAAACAAAAGCTAGCAAAATGCTGTCACAAGCTAATGGAACTGTTTTTCCTTTGCAAGACATCGTGATGTCACACGTGGCTCTCATCTCCTTACTTATTTGGAGTTCTGTACTAGGACTTTTCAGCCATGCATAGTCTAATGACAGGCTTGTCATTTATTTGACAACACTGATGAGCGCACCTTCACCCCTACCTTAAACTTTGCCTTCACAAAGCGTTGGATTAGTTTAGAAGTTTCACAGTCAGTTTGTTTCCACTCTACAAGATCACGTCAGGCCCAGAAAGACTAACTACAGGGACAGACAATGTACCACAAACCGCTCCTCTTTACCCTTTGCCTCTGCTTTGCTCAACAGCGGTCTCCATTGTGGAGCTCCGTGACAGGGCTCCATCATGGCTCACTCTGAGCGACTAGTCAGATGGCCCGAGGACAGACTCAAACTGTCACACACTTCAAACTCATGCGCACCCCCTCCCCATGTCCTGTACAAATGCTCTGAAAGGTTGCTTTTTGTTCCACCAGCTCAGCATGTTGGAAGGACAATATTGTGAGAAGACAAATAAAGAGTTTTTTGCCCCTGTACTGAAGTGGAAATTAGAAGAGAAACTTCCTCAGCATGTAAATCAGCTGGTGTTCATTAATGGTTTGGCGGCTGGGAAGAGAGCAGCGTGGGCTTGTTTGTTGCAGACCAACAAAAACATCACTCCTTTGTTTAGGGGAAAAAGTGTGTATGATCAAAGCATCTGAGACTGGCTGCTAAAGGGAAAACAAAAGTGTGACTAAGCCAGTTCACTCACCAGCTCTCTGTAAGATGCCTGCTTTCTGCAGGCCACAGAGCAAAATGAGAATGTGCCAAGGCTAGTGGTGGGATGATAATTGGATTTTAGTATCAAAAAATTATCATAGTAAATGTTTTGTACCAATAAATGCATTTAAAATAAAAGACAATACTCATGTTTGAACTGATGACAGTTCTTGAGGCTGTAGCCTGTTTTATTCAGCACTGAAGAACGTGCTGAATTAAATCCAGTAACAATGAAAGCAGTAATGAAGTATTATTATACCAACAGAGGTATACAGGGATTTGTAACATTTTCTGCCTCTAACCCAAAATGTTGCTCTACTATTGATTTGATTTCATGTTTTTCTTGTCAAGCAGCTGCACATAGTCACTTCTGTCCAATGCTGTCACCATTAGCTTAACTAGTCATTTATTCTGGGTCCAGTAATAAAATACTTCAATCAATTCTTAAAAAATATGCAAAATGAAATCATTAGCATGTAAATGAAGTAATTCAGAGTGGTTTAATGTGAAATTCTCCATTCTAGAGAAACTTGTCAAGTTAGCATTGTTCACAACAGTGGTGATAGAAAACAGACATTTAAAATGTTAAATGACTATAAAAGCCCAACTACAGAAAGTTGTTCAATGCAATGGTTATGAACATGTTGCCTGATAACCCTAATATACATTTTAAAAGCCATACATGGTGGAGAGTTACATTCAGGGTATAATAATGCACAATTACCCCAAAGGAAAACTTATTTTTTGGATTTACCACTATTTTAACATTAAAACATTACATTGTAATTACAATATTATATATTAAAACTTAGATGTGTATGTGCACTGGTTGTTTTTGACACTGGTTGTTTCTCTACAATGCAACATGTCACATCAAATCACAATGAGTTTTTTCACATCTCAATAACTGATGTAAGCAGAAATTTTGAAAAATTATGTTACTCCCCTTTAAAGTCGTTTCATCGGTTTTATTTCCATGGGTTATAACTGCATGTAATGTAACCAGTGAAAAGTAGTACAATAATATCAGTGCAAATGAAAACCATGAAAAAGCATGAAAAATGTTTGCACTTGGTAATGTATTTACATCTACAATCATGTCACGGTCCTGTTTTTGATAGCGTAAAGGAAAAAATTCTCATCTTTCTCCCTTATAAGACTAGTGAGATAATAGGTTAGACGCCACATTATACATTTGCTAACAGCAGATGTAGCATTCCATTTCCCTGTTGAGAGCTCACCTTTTCATTTCTGTCAGAGAGGCAGTAAAGTGCACTATGGCACACTAGAGGACAGATGGTCGTCTCCAAACCCACATTTTGCCAATCACATCCCTTAAGGGGCTATTGGCAGGTCAATGTGTGCCTATAGCAGTGCTCTCTGTGCTGTCACTGCCCTGCTATTCTCCTCCACCTTGCTGTGCAGAACGGTGGAGTGGCAGCCCTCGTACAGCTGGAGCGAGGGGACGAGATGAAGAGAGTGCTTGTGCGTGTACACATATCGTGCTTTGTTCTGTTGTGTGCGTTACTGTGCATGTGTGTGTGTGTGTTTTATTGAGTGCATAATCTGCTCCAAGAGTGCTTGTTGAATGTCAAGTTCCTGCTCTGAGCTCCATGGAATCTCCATGGTAGTAAATTAGCAGTGGGATGGAGTGGATGAGAAGAAGAGAGGGGGATGTGGGAAAGCACTCCAGCCTGATTAAAGTGGCCCGTGTTTCACAGAGAGGGGAGGGCGGACATTCTGAACAGTCCCTCTGATCTTTTACCATATGGAATGTCTGTTTATGGTTTTAGAGAGGTCACTGGTTACACGTTGGTTTGTGGCAGCTAAAAACCTTAAAGACGTGCGTATCTTAGAGCTGCAACTAGTGATTATTTCTATAATCAATAAATGTACTAATTGACTATGATTAATTGACTAATCAAACCATTATACCTTGTGCAGTTTCCACTCACCTCATCCCCATCATGGCACCACCATTGTTTACAGTTCCATCTGTGCCACTGGTGATATCTTCTTTTATGGTGCAACAAAACAACAGAAGTCATCTGTTCACTTCCTGCAGTGAACATGATAGGGCCACTTTCCCAGGCCAGATTCAACTTAAATGTAGACACACAGTTGACGCTCCAGGACTAGGCATAACCCATATCTGAAAATCTGACTCAGAGTATTATATAGCACTGTTATTTTTAGTAAACAGTGTGCCAATGCATGCCTGACATTAACATTATAAAGCATATATATTGTTTTTAAGTAAACAACACTTCAACACATACATTGTTTTCCATTTTTGATTTTGTTAACAACAAACTGACTTTGTCAGCTAATCTCTGCTGCTGTTTATTTATTCTTCAAGTTTGTATTTTCAGTCATGTAACTTATGTATTGAGCATAGAAATCAAATGGCACGAGCAACTAAAGGGAACCAGCCCAGTGGAAGAATGCCATAAATATTCCATTGAGTTAACAGCCACAGACATGTCACACACCAAATAACATGCAGTTGTATCTGCAAGCCTGCTCGTACAGCACATTATTATAACCAGTTTACAGGGATGGTCCAGGTTTATCGAGTGGCAGAGACAGCCAGGGCTACTTTCACCTGTATTCACCACCCAGATTGTTAAAAGGCCTACATAATGAGAAAAATCTGCCACGAAAACTTAACAATGTGCAGCATAATATCAGTGTTTGAGAGCTTTGTCTATAGCTATGGACCCACTCTAGCCTTTCTCTTTCTCTCTCTCTCTGGCTTTACTGCAGGGAGCAGTAGTTCAGGAAAAAAAGATCTGTTACCGTGCACTGTAATTAAATGTCCTCGTTTCTCTCACTCCCCTGTCCTTTTCTCTCCACTCTCCTCAATCTCTTTATACCTAATAACATTCCCTCTCCTGCTGAATTAGGCGTTCCTTTTGTTCCTCGGTCTCTAAGTAGCTGTCAGGCGCTATTCAGACATGCCTGGCACCAGAGTCGCTCGCAGAGAGGCACCTCTGAGTCTGTTTGTGCTGAAATAATTACACGGGTAATATCCCTTTGAGTGGTAGTGTTGGGGCCTGATCTGTGCCTAAATCGTTCAGAGAATGAAAGAAGGAGAAAGAAAAAGAGACAGAGAGAGAGTCCTCTATGCCTTGTGAGAGCAATAAACGTTATTGGATTCTTCTCAACATCTCCTCTAGCCACTCTTGTTATCAGGGACAATGACAAAGCTCATCGACTGTTTTTTGTTTTTATGTCACAATTTCGTAAAATTCTCACCACAGTATATAACAACAGACTAATACGAGCAAGAGGGCTTGGCCTTGTCTGCTCATCTAATTGACTTTTCTCTGGAGAGATTTATGACCATGGACCTCAATACGAAGACCAACTACAGAGATATTTTATGAAGACAGGCTTTCTTCTTCTTTTTTGTCTACAACAGGTGTTGGGAATGGCTGACTGTAATCTTATTTAACACTGGCAAAATGAAAGTTTTTTTTTCACAATACACATCTCCAATGTCTCCCTGGCACAATACTGTAATGTATTGTATCTGCTCCCTGCAGAGTCTCCAGGTCAGGACTTCGTAACGCTGGACTACCGGCTGCGCTACTACCCCAGCATCACCTACGCCGTGATAGGCAGCGCAGTCATCTTTGTCCTGGTAGTAGCGCTCTTGGCCTTGGTTCTGCACCACCAGCGGAAGCGCAGTGTTCTGTTGCCCCGTGGTGTCCGAGGGGGTCCCCACCACCATCACCACCACCAGCCCCTGCTGCTGTCCAGGCTGGTTATTGTGGACAGGGGTCACGTCCACACGGCTGGCGCTGGCCTCTCACCTCCATCCTCCTCTCCATCGGGACAGTTCAGCTCAGCACACAGCCTGCAGCTGCTCTCCAGCGCCCTCTACCCCAGAGGAGCTCCACTAGACTCCCCTCCTTCATACTCGCAGGCTGTGCTGGACGTCAGGTAGGATGTGTCGCCACTAACACCATCTTCCAAGGCCATCTAATCATTTAGTTTTTATCCCTATAGACTCTAGGCTTATTATTCAGTTATTAATCTTAAAGTTGACCTGAAATCAAAATGATGAGTATCGCTAAATATGACCAGGGACCGGTAACAAACGTTGTTAGTTCATGTCCCCGGGCAGGAAAAAATAATATTAACCAATAATATCATGTTCCACTTTCCTCTCCCATGACTCCCTCTTCATCAAGCAAAAACACTTACCCAGCTCACAGACCCACCCTAACGAGTTTCACTCTGAAATATATCACGGTACAGAAGGGAAATGCACTGTGATTTCCAGAGATTTTAAATCAATACTCATAGTTTCTTCTATTACTGTATAAAGCACTTTGAGCTGCCACCGGTATGAAAAGTGCTCCAGAAATAAAAGCTATTATTACATTGTTATTATTCATTCCTATAGAGTTAAAGGCTTTATTATCCCGTAACTCTGAATTGCCTGGTAACTACTATGAAACTGAAATGTAAGGCTCTGAGAGTGTATATGAGTAGTTCTTAGAGTGAGGAGGAGAATTCTGATGCCTGGGTCCTCAGTGTGTAAGGGCTTAATACTGCAATAGAAATATTGAAAATGTGTGTTAGGCCTTGGGCAGTATTGTTAAATATCATATGATGATTTATTTTTCCATATTATTCGATATAGACGGTTATCATTATGCATATACAGTCATGTGCAAAAGTTTCAAACTACATGTTTTGTTGATTTTCCAAGTGAAAATAAGTTAACACATCATCTACAGAGAACAAATTTTTTATCAACCTGTAAAATTTACAGTTGTTACTTTTTTATTTGAGGATTTACCCATAAACAAAATGAATCGTGAATCATGTGATATGTTAATGCAATATTATAAGGTTCAGGGCTGGTTAAAATACATTTGCAGCTATAGCCCCAGAAGCAACTGCCATATGATGACCCTTTCTACACTGAGTGTATGCACTAACTGTCGAGCGTGTTTTAGCTGTTATGAGTGACTGTCTAGACTTCCTCTCCCTCACAAAACAGCCCAGTTAAAGTTCTTCCTATAGCACTAAGTACCAGTCGTTGGTACAGTAGTTGAACATGGGTTCATTAACTTTGTTGAGCTTGTATCAATTACCATGATATATTTGAAAAATATTGTTATTCAGTACCACGCAGCACTATTTCATCACGTTTTGTGACCCTAAAATGTCTGTCCTTGCAGTCGACCTCCGTGGTTTGACCTCCCGCCTCCCCCGTACCCTCCTGATGGTGAAGCTCCATGTGAGAGAGAGCCGCCAGTTTATGAAGCTTCTACAGAAGAGCCCAGGTCATCCCAGGCCCGGAGTGTCACCCCCAGCCTCAGAGCTGAGGCAGGACAACCCCGTAGCAGCAGCTCCGGCTCCAGCTCCATGGAAGAGCCTCAGCAGCTGTAGCCCTCAAATGAGGACACACTTGTACATAGGACTAAGAACCATGTAGGGGACTGACCCTATGGAAAGCTATACGAGACCAACACGTCTTGTAGTTTAGGAATGATGAGTACAGTGGACTCGCAAATGGACTTGCTTCAGTTATGGAACATAAAAGGATGCTCCAAGCACTTGGACCAACAGTTTAAAAGCAGTTTCTTGTGTCAGTGCTGGTGGAAGTCGCCATCTTCTGGTGAACATGAAACATGACAACTCATGAGTTTACATGGGGGATGAGAAACTGTGAGGATGCACTGGGTGCAGAGCTCATGACTAACAATGAGTGAAGAGAAGGCTTCTTCAGGCCTCTGACACATACCCTTGAGAAGGGTACTTTATAAGACTTTTAGACGCTGCATCAGAATGACGCAGATAGCAAACAATAGTGAATTCACCTCAGAATAGCTGTCTGAGTCATGGACAGTATTCTATTCCTATTAGTTTCTTTTGATTTGTTTTGTTTTTTTTACCCCACACTTTTGAACACTCCTAAAATCACTATGCAATGTGAATTGTGTATGATTGATGTTAAACATATATTAAGAAAAGAAGAGCCTTAGGGGAAGCATGATATAGTGTACTTGTACATGTAAAAAGCATCTAAGAGAGATGACCTACCCTATTCCCATCATTGAAGCACTTGTTAAATGACCCTATTAATGTTTAATTCAGCCTTTTTTAATAGCAAACTCCATAAAGAGTGAGCTCAGTCTGAACCACTGCTTTATCGTGGCCTTGTTTCTGAAGACTGGAATGATCTTATACTATAATGTTATTATAGTACTACAGAATTTCTTACTTTTTTCAAAATTTGTCTGCAGTGAAAGCTGTTTTCTGATCATTTGTCTCAGCAAATATCATTGAATTTGATCTGTTGTACTAAACCTCATTTATATCACCACTCTCATTAACCGACTGCATGCTGTAGGAATAGATATTTGGGGCATGCTGTATTTAACGGTCAGTAGTTAAAGCCATCGTGCCTTACACTCAAAAGCCTTTGGATTTGTAGAAAGAAATTTTAGTCATTAACTAAACATAATTCTAACACACTTAACTCATCATCCTTGTCTTGTAAAGTCACTGGTCACTGCTTTTTTGTATTTGACAATCAGTGTAGCTGGTTCAGTATTCATGTGACAGTTTCTAATACAAATTTACATTGTGTAATAAGTTTATACAAATTTTCTACCAAATTAGTCTACTATCAGAGAAATGACTGTCTCTCTAAAGTAGCTGTAAGAAGCGTACATATGATATCTAACGTGTCTGTAAGATGTCATAGAACAATAGTCCACTTTTACAGCGGTCAGACTTAAATGCATTTCACTACTTTGTTCAAGCTTTGAGGTAAAGATGTGACTCCTCTGTTAAACCGAACTACTATTTTTAAATATGACTTGTCAAAGATTATTTTTTTTATTATTTTAAACAGCTTGTGTGAAGGATCAAGACTTGTTTAATGCTATCATCCTATTTCTGTCCTTTTTTTCTCTGACTTGAAGGTTTCTCAAAACAATATGCTGATGTGGGAGGTGGATGAAGTGGTGTGTATTTAAAAAAAAATCTTGAACATAAATATTGTGAATAATATGTTAAACTGGAAAACATGTAAATGAAAAGTATTACTTTATTACTTATGTCTTTCTCTTGACACCTGGCCGGCAAAAAGTGCTCCAATGAGAAATTTCCTGTTACATTAGAAACGTAGAAATGAAATTTTACCAAAGCAGAAATCATATTGTTATAAGTTTCAAAATAAAAACTACAGCTCAAGTTATCACTGTACATTATCTCTGGTGAGCATTTCCTTGCAGTTTTTAAATAGGATCATGATTAAGTGACCAAACATCATCTGCATTATTTTTCAGACTTTACTTCCTTTTTGCCTGCACTTACAGCAATAAATTCATAAATAACTATTACTACGTTCGACAAATAATATATTACCTTGCACTTCATTCAAAGAAAAGGGTACAATTAAAACTTTTCACAGCATAAAAAAAAGAGGGGGACATTTTACATCATCTTTAACGCTCCTTGCCTGGCTCCTTTCTATTTTTAACACCATTTTAGCATCCAGAATTTCTTCCAGTCATTATAATGAGCTAGGTACGTCAATATGATAGCAGGTCACTGACACCAGGCTGTGTTTATTTGTGCTGGGAAGGGTCCACTAACAGGAATGCTTCTCTGTGGCAAGAACACACTGTAAACATTTCACTGCAATTAGTGCACTGCTGTCCAGTACAGTAACTTTCATGCAGCATCTCAAGTAAGTGCTCCTGTACAACGATATCAGTGACTGAAATAGCACAAAAATACTGTGGCACTTTTAGACTTTTAGATTGCAGGTCCAAACTCTGTTCTCTGGAGCTGCTATGAGCTATGGCAGCTATGAGCTGTGGATGAACACAGGACTAATTAAAGAAGGGATAGAGATTGTGCATGAGTCATTGGCTGCTGATTGGTCAGAGGAATTATAATGGTCTTGGCCTTGGAGCAGGAGGAAATGACTGACATAGCACTGACCATTAGCAAAGGGCAGGATACTCTCATTAGAATTCTTTCTTTGTTTCTTCCTCCACATCTCTCCCATACTGACCAGCAGAAACTCACTTTTTTTTCTCCCATTAAAAGCATTCAAATATTAAAATGGCAGGCTTTGTAATTATAGCACAATAATAAAACAAAATAATAAAATCATACAAAACTCAGCAATATGTACATCAGATTCTGAAGCAATGATAAATTTCAATTTCTATCAGTAATAAACTGTTTATTTCTCCCCCTTTTAAAGTCATTCTGTCCCACAGTTTAGTAGCAGAGGGTTAACAGTTCAGTTTTAAGTGCATCATGATTATTAAGTGGAAGAAGGACATGGGCCCAGCACATGGAGGAATCAAGGAGCTCCTCTGCTGTCCTCAAGTCACGGATTGGCTGCTTCTGGGCATCTGCTGTTCGGTCAGGCAGGTTTCGGCCCTCCAGTGTGGGAACTGTGTGGCTGGTAAGCGACTGGCTATTATTTTTCTATATTTGGGCATTGCAGCTTCTGGCAGTAGGGACTGTAGAGTTAAATACAGTGAGTACAGGCTTCTCAGTGCTGGCCAGTGTTTCATTCAGAAGTTAGCATCCTTCTTCAGTTTCTTAGACCAGCATACAGCTCTAGGACAAAGCCAGCCCACTTCCAACTAGTGTGACTGCAGCCAATTCTTCCACTGCTGCACTGACCAGAAGAAGTTTAAGCACTACAGTTTAATCCCCTCTCTTCCTCTTCAATGCAGTGCTCTTGCCCCAGCTCCCAAGCTGGGAGCTGGGTGCTGGTTGCCCAGATCCCTAATGGTCAGTCAGCAGGGTAAGTGGGGTCACCTGGGGGGCGGCCCTTTATAGTGGCTCCTGTGCAAGTGCAACGCCGGCAATGCCAAACACTTCCTGAAGTGCTCGAGTTCAGCATGCATGCGCTCTCTCTCCAGTGCCAGCCTCTGCCTCTGTGCCAACAGCTCCTAATGAACGAGAGTCATAACAGAGAAAATGTCAGAGAAGAAGGTTAACACTGGACTTTGCATAAACGTAAATTGTACATATACACAGGCATTCAAAAGTTTGGAATCACTGTATTCTATAAAATTTTAAAAAATGAAGGAAAATGTATTAAAAGATTCAACTAATTAGTAGGAAGCTGTGAAAAAAGAAGACAGTGTAGATGTGTCCAGGATGATGACCAGAGCTGTAGATGATTCCATAATAGAAAGTTATAGTAAAATAAACACAAAACCATGCCTAATCTGAAGGGTTCTGGACTGCACATAAAACAGACACAGATAAATTAGGAATGTCCTGATCAACTTTTTCTGACCCTGATCCCAATGCAATTTTCTTAATAATGAGTTTGTACTGACACAGAGTCTCATCCACTATTTGTATTTTCATACCAACCCAATTGCTTGGCTACCAACTACTTTAATATACTATGGTAAAATCACTTCATTTTTAATAGGTGCACTGTCTGACACTCTCAATTTAAATATTTTTTACATTTTTTAAAACCACTTTTTTTCAACATGACCACTACATGGTGTCTGGAATACGCTACTTTCATATTTCAAATTGCTCTTTAACATAATTCCACACTGCAGACAATTAGAGCGGTTGTTATGTTCTGAAAACTTTCTGCAAGTTGTGGATAATATTACCTTATGTCAGATTTACATGGTCTAAATAGACAGCAAACTGACCTTGAAGGGGAATTCCACATTTTATTCCAGATTTCTGAATAAGGTTTTGTTGGGATGTAATCAATCCAATAATCCAGAGTGATTTGATGTGAAACGTTCTATTTTGAAGAACCTAACCAAGTCAGAGTTGTTCACAGTGGTGGTAATAGGAACTAGATGTCCAAAACATTTAATGCCTCTAAAAGCTACGACACAGAACGTTTTTACAAAAAAGAGTTCTGAATGTGCTGCCTGATGTCTGCAACATCGTTTTACAAAAGTTTTATGATAAAAAAAAAAAAACACACTTTTATGCATTCATGGATTACATACCATATACATACAAGGCACCCTAAGACAAAACAGCTCCCAAAGAACTGTTTTTTAAGAATTACCACTATTTAACCATCAACGATACATACAAAAACTCAGAAGACACGTGTAAATTCACCAGTTTTGAATAGTCAATAAAATAGATATGTGTGTTGTAGACATCATGACAAACCTGGTTCCCATCACCACAACTGTAAACAAATCAGAGTCAATAAGTTTCAATGCACCATTTCACATTAAACCACTCTGAATGACTTTGTTTGCATCTCATCAATTCAATAAAGTAGAAAGTTTGAAAAAAAATGGAGGAATTTCACTTTAAGACATTGCTGACATTTGATCGGGCTTAACCTGGCCAATAGTAATCCATTAAAATATGCCTAATTTGTCTCTGATACTGATGTTTATGATCCTAATTTTAATACTGACTATTAAGATTTGAACGGAGTGAGAAAGAAAGGAAGATGAGATGAGTCAGAGAGCCTTACCCCCATAGTGATAGAGAGCTGATCAGCAGTTACACTCAGATGATAGTGCTGAGCCTCCAGCCTTCTGCACTCACTCTGCAGAACTTCACTCTCTATACTTCTCTCTGAGAACACACACAGTGAGATTTATCAGTACTGAAGACTTCTCAAAGCTTGAGCAGACAAAGAAAACTGAGCAGCAGAAACATAACTGGTGGTCTGAGAGAGGGACTCACCTTCTATGTATTCGTGGTATGCTTCGTATATGGCCTCAATCCCCTTCCATTTGGGACTAGAACATTCCTCCTCATCTTCATCATCATCTTCATCACTGGAGTCGTCCTCAGCAGACCGCTCATCACTTAACCCTGCATGCTCCTGGTGGGCTGGTGGGTGGCAGGAGTGTCCATTGGTGTAAGGATAAGGCAGTCGGTTTAGTGGCCCCTGTTGGTCTGAAGGGCTGTAATGCACTGAGTTGTTAACCTTATGGTTCGGCTCCATGACTCCTGTAACACCTCCTAGTAAAACGACAAACAGCACTGGTCAGCTATGCACCGATACTGAAATTTTAACATTCATACCACAGAAAAAGGCACAAATAAGCAGCTGGTCACAGAATGTGTGTGTGGGAAGTATTCTTATTTAGAAAGATCCTGCTCACATCTCTAGCCATAAATGAGAGAACCATGAATCCTACAGCAGAATGCTCGGTCATCAGTCTGTGATCTGAAGCTCAAGCACAATTGGCTAATGCAGTGAAATGATGAGAGAAGTCCACCTCTTTATGGTTCAAAAGCAAAAAAATCAGGTTTTGGCTTGAACCTCATTGAGATGCTGTTCATGCTAAAAAGCCCTCCAATGTGGCAGAATTAAAGCAATTCTGCACAGAAGAGGGGCCCGAATTCCTCCACAGCAATGTGAAGCACTGTTATAGGAAGCGTTTGGACGCAGTTGCTGCTGCCAAAGGTGAGACTTTTATGTCCAGTTATTACGTTTAGAAGGCAATTACTTTTTCACATGAGTGATTTAGATGTTCTGTGTATCCTTATATCTGAAATCATTTAGTGTGACAAATATGCAAAAATCAGGAGGGGGCAAGTACTTTTGCATTACACTATATACATACTTAATACACCACTATAGCCATACAATTACTCACTGTTGGCATGTCCAATTTGCCACACTGTCCATCAACAGAAAAGACCACCATAAGACCACCTCTGACCAGATATTATTAGGGCGGTAGTTGGCCATTTTCAGCAGTGCAACAAACCCACAAGCAAACCTGTATGGTAGTTGTGTCTGATAAAATAGCTAACAAGTGTAGGTACAGGGTAGGAGTCATATAAGTGTGCTAGAGAAATCCCTTGTATGTCTTGTGCTTAGTGAATGCAGCCCCTCACCTTTGTGCTTGTGCTGGGTTTTCTGTGTGGACTGCAGCACAGACTGGTGGAACTGCTGGGCGAACTCCTCTGCGCTCAGGCTCTCCCAGTGCTGTGGTCTGCCGCTCAGGCCATTCAGTCCAGCAGCATGCTCCTTCAGAGGGACGAGGGGCGGCCTGGGGCTGGCCTGCAGGCTGGGAGGCCTCCTGATAGGGTGAACCTCTCCAAAGCGGGTGTGGTCCTGCAGAGGGGCCAGTGGAGGGGGCTCTTTAAGGCGAGGAGGGTCAGACTGGAGTCTGCGGAAGTCAGACTGACTGTTATTGTGCACATGCTTATGAGAAGCAGGAGGGGTGGGGCTACGAGAATGTGGGCGGGGCATTTCATTTGGCTGGCAGGGTGCTGATGGTGTAGGGTCTGTCAAGAAGAAAAACATTCACAGAGATGACATGATTGCAAAGAAATGAATGATTGTAAAATAATTTCTCTAAAAACAAACTCAGTGTACAGTTCCTACCAGAGGCTGTAGTGGGTGGGCTGGAGCAGGGTGTGTGTGTAGCATATCGGAGTGTGTCGAGGGTCACAGTTTTCTGTTTGATAGCATCCAGCAGAGTCACTACTTTCTCCTTCTCTGCAGACAAAACAAAAAATAAATTTCTGTTTTTTTCCCCTTTTTCTCGTTATGATGTAATTGCAAAAGAAAGTTAGATGCAATATCCATAATAAACAGACGATTGTACATACTGTAATGTTTGGTAAGAATTGTGCTCACATTATAATTTTTGCTCAGATTCAATGTTTTTGCATTCGTGTTTGTAAGCCACCCATGTCATTAATGTGAACTAGGCTTGAGCTGACTGACATCAATATTGTGAATTGGCAATTATTTCCATTTAATGTGAGTGCCAATCAAGTTGTATGATTTAAATATCAGAAAATAAGCCATCCACAGCTTTAGAATGGGTGAAAGTAATCATATCTGTCATATCTTCTATTCTTTTAGTGTGTTTTCTTTGAACGTGTTCAGATTAGTCTAAACATGTTGTCTTGTTTCAGAATTTTCTGTTGCAGTGCATAACAGTACTTTTTTAACCATAGTAGTGCTTAAACTGATAAAGCCATTTTGCAGCATTCCACACACAGAACACTTTACTGAAACACGAACAACAGGCTTGAATGATTTTGACATTCTGATTACATCAAAGTTACTAAAAATAAAGACAACGCCTATTATTGTTATTAATAGCTTACTAATAATAACAGGCAGAAAACCCAAAAAAGTGAAGCTGTAATAACAGCAGGCTGAGTTCACATGGTAAGCCTTTTTTTATTATTTTAACTTGAACCAATTTGTAGGCCGCAAACGCATGATTTATTAAACCTGTAGCAACAATACCAAATCATACCAGTTAGCTTATAAGTTTCTGCACGGAAACATTTTTCTTTTCTCTGGTCTTCTGCATAATGTTACTACAGTACCTGCTGTGCTGAACAGGGTTACTGGAGAAAGATGCTACAGATATTGATTAATAGGATTTGTGCTGTGTGAACCTTGCCTAGAATTTTTGCTTGTAAATGTATCAGAGAATATTGAGAATATATGTGTGTGTGTATGTTAATACAAACCTATCCTCTGCTCTTGGCTGACATGGTTGAGGTTGAACATACTGAGGAAGTGCTTCTTGTCCTCTAGTTCAGGCACACTGTCCATGTCCTCTGGGCTGTAGCGTGTGGTCAGGCTGGGTGTGGGAGTGGGCGGCGCCTGCCGTTTGCCCTGCACAGGTTCAGGGGAGGGGCTGCGTTCCTTCAACATCCTCCTCCTCTTTCTCCGCTTTCTCTCCAAAAGCTCATCACGGCAGGAGAGTGTGGTCAGACCAAACATGCCCAGGAAGTCCAGTTTCTGCAAAGAGAGAGACAGAGAGAGGGAGACACATGAGCCATGCATAAACAGACTACAGCAGCAGGATGAGTTAGAGATAGATGAATATGTAGAGACGAAGGAAGGATGTACCTCTTTAGACTGGTCCAGTTTGAGAGGGGGCTGCTCAGCCACTCTTCTCAGATGAGCTCTCACCTCCTCTTCATCACTCTCATCATACGAGTCATCCAGCTCATAGTAATAACCTGAAACACAAACCACAACGTAAGAAACATACAGAAACCTACACAATTGTAAGTGCTACACTTTCTAGCATGTATAGACTAAATTATCATAGACTAAGTCGAAAGCTTAGAATCTGCACTTTTAACAGAAATTCTCTGCAAGAAATAATTAATGTCAGATTACTCCATGCTTTTGTTATGGCCAACGATTCCTGCATCCTCTATGGATTAAACTCCTAAAGATTAATTAGTATCTACCAACAACAACCAAATGCTTTTTAGTCATTTCATTCTGACTATTCCTATAGTCTTCACAAGATGTTTCTAGTGAGCCCTACCCTTCTCTCTGGCCTCCCTGCGCCTCTTCTCCTCCAGGTCCAGTTTACTGAGCAGTCTACGGTGCTGCTGCAGGGCCTCATCATACACCAGCATGGGCTCTACAGCTCGGCCAGGTCCCTGAGAAAAGGCCCTGATTGGAGAAGCAGCTCTCTTAGGGACTCTAAGCTCTGCGTAGGGGCCAGGCAGGGCCAGAGAGACCCTCTGCTGGGTCAGAATGCTCTGAGTAGTCTTCTCTAGATCTGCAAGGAAGGTGCTGTGCTCCAGGAGGCTGTGCGCTCTCGGTGGAGGGACCCTGTCAGGACACTCCAGCCTCCTGACCCCCTCCTCACTCCGGTCCGGTTTGGTCAGCCCTGGGGGAGGACGGCTGGGGGGTAATGGAGGGTCATATCCTCGACGCGTGTGAGATGGTGTATCGATAAGGGAGGCAGGGTTCCAGAGAGTGGTAGGAGGGTTAGCATGGTGGTCCCGAGGGGGAGGTTTAGGGGAAATGAGAGGAGGTGGTGCCCCCAAATGGTGAGGTAGGTCTCTGACGTTCATGTCCTGATGGTGTGGGTTAGACCTACAAACAGAGATGCGAGAGCAGCTTAAATCAATATCAATGGCTCTACTATAGAAGACAGGCTACTTCTTCTTTGACAGAAAGTCACAGGCCGCTATTAGAATCTAACAAGTTAACAAGCTAACTAACAAGTTGGCCATCTCCCAATGACATACTGTGAGATGGAAGAGATCACCCTATATGTGCAGACTCTTAAATGAGAACAGACCCCGGATGGCGGGACTGATCTTTTCTTCCATACTTGCTTAGTTATTAATGCTTATTTAATATTCCTTTTTAAATTCAGTACTGATCAAAATACCTTATAGTACAGTGTATAATCTATAGTGTGTTTAAGTATAGTCTTTAATTCGTGGTTTTAGAGAACTGTCTATTTGACCACAAAAATTATGGAGTATCAGGAAAATGGGAATACCAGAGCAGCTCATTGTTCATGAGGAATGTCTACACTGATGAACAAGCGACCGTCAGGACAGAAAGTGGACAAACAGAATGGATGCACATTGGAAAAGGAGTTAGACAAGACTGCACACTATCACCAAACCTGCTCAACCTGTATGGTGAATATATAATAAAAGAAGTAGGACTGAAGGAAGATGATCAAAGATTCAGGATTGGTGAAAGATATGAGGATGATATGTCACTCAACGAAAAATATGGAAGACCTGAAGGTCTTTATAAGGAATGTTAAAAAACCTGTGAAAAGATGGGATTTCAGGTCAATATTAAGAAGACTAAGACTATGACAACAGAAAAGACTACTAACTTTTCCACTGATGGAGAAAAAGTGGAAATGGTGAGCAGCTTTTGCTCACTCGAATCAGATATTAACTGAGCAGAACAAGGATGAAGTAGCTTAAAAAGATCTTCAAATGCAATTATTTGTCTCTACAAACAAAGATGAGAATTGTCCAGGCTATGGTTTTCTCTGTGGTTCTTTACAGATGTGAAAGCTGGACAATAAACAAGTGAGACAGGAAATATATAGATGCATTTGAGCTTTGGTGTTGGCGAAGACTTCTGAGAGAACCTTGGCCAAACAAATGAATCCTTAAACAAATTAAGCCTCACCTCTCATTCAAAGCCCTGATAACCAAACTGAAGTTGATCTTATTTTGGACATATTCTGAGAAGAACCAATTCACTGAAAAGACCATTATGCTTGGTATAGTTGAAGGTGAAAGAGGAAGAGGATGACCAGCAACAAGTTGGATGGATATAATCAGAGGAATTATGACTCAGACACTGAGAAGCCTGAAGACTAAAAACAGATGACAGGATTTTCTAGAGAGACACCATCCATATGGTCACCAGGAGTCAGAAATGATTTGAAGGCACTTAATAATAATAACCATTTCATATTTTATCATAACAGGAAAATGATTTAGTGTTTTAGTTACACTGTGTTTTTAAAATCACGGAGTATTACTGGACTAGATTTGAACAAATTAAACAAAATAATGACAAAAAAGTAGCATGGAAAAAAAAGCCCTACTCCCAAAGTTTCCTATAGAATTCTTTGTGTCTAAAAGAAAATACTAAAACTCAAAACGACATAAAAACAACACGCAGGATGTTACCAACAGACAACAATGAAATCAAAGAGAATTTGTGGCTCAGTGTGAATGACTAAATTTGATCTGAGTAAAAAAGTGGATCACTTTCCTTTTACATATACTGTATAATTAAAGGTACTATAATTTGAAAATGTACTTCAGAACATGTGTAACTACGTAAATAACTACACACCTCTGCCTACAAATAACTAAACCATGCTGTAATAATCAGTATGGCCACAAGAGGGTGGCATTCTACAACATGTTTCCACCAAAACAAAGACAGACTGGATTCTTTTTTTCAAGAAACATTTTCTATTCCAGTTTTATTTTGGCCTCAAGCTACTCACAACCCCAGACTGACCCAGAGACTGACTGCCCAAAGAATATCCATATGATTCAGAACAAAAATGCCTGGATTACTCACAACAATCCCCACCAGATTACCTCAGAGCTCCAGCACAGATCAAGAAACTAATTAGTACCACAGAAATAAACAGCACGGTACACTGAGTAGGGTTAATATTCTGAGCATGCTACGCACCCTAGGCCAAATGTTTGCATATCACTGGAGATTTAAAAACCAAGAGCCTCTGCATTGCTTTGTGTTTAACCCTCCTGGCACTATAGTTATTGGGTCTGAAATAATAATAATTATTAAGAATAAAGATTAATAGAATTTAATTAGACATGGCCAGTCTCAAAACTAACCCTGCAGGTTACAGACTGACTGAATTATTAGGGTGTAATAAGATGATGTAAGATGCTAAAACCATATTTACATTGAATAGTCAATCCAAAAACTGAAACATATACATCTAATGCATAGTTCATTTAAAACATAACCCTGTAGTTCAGTCGTCTCACCTCTGCATGTCCCTGTGCAGTTCCTGAGGCTCTGGGCCTGGCTCTGAAGCATGCTGTCTGAATTCGGACATTGGGCCCTGTCTGTCCTCCTTCTCTGTTCTTAGTCTTCTTTGTCTGGCCAGCCATCTATCCTCCTCCCCATGGCGCTGGAGCAATGCAGCGGCCGCTAGCGCCCCCTGAACGCCCCCTGCACCCAGCCCTAAACGCCCACCAGGAGAGGGTAGCAGGCTGGGTGTGGGGAGGGACGAGTACAGGCCAGGCTGCAGTGGCTTTGGAGCCAGTACTGAGGCCTCTTTGGTTTTCTCTATGGAAAGAAAAAGACAGTTCACATTGTAGAGCAGTACATGCACACGGGTACATGCTTATTATGCCCACTGAATGTGGACAAAAAATGAATGTATGAATTTTATTAAATTAACAGCGTCTCTGAGAGACTTGAGGCTGAATTCTTAACATAGCTAGAACAAAACTGCAAAGTTTGTCTCAGTTAGTGCAGCATTAACTGATGTATGACACTGCTAAATAAGAGCAACCAACTATAAAACCAGCCACACTGGAAATGTTTTATTTTGCACCATATTTCCTCAAAATTTGCTCAAAATATGCATACGACTGTAGCTGGATGAGAGCTACAGCACCAAAAACATTTTTTTGTGACTGACATGTGGGGGGAGAGTATGAATGACCTTTAGGGGACATTCTATCAATAATTAAGGGCACTGTGAGAAAAACTGTAGCTAATAAGTAAATGAAAGTATTATTAGTAGCTCCAGTACAAAACTAAAGAAGCAAAACATGTCTTGGTTGATGAACTACATTTGGAGTCGGGGACAATAGTGTACATTTGATTTTTTGGGGAACTGCTCCTTTAAGGACCTCCTTTAAAGCCTATGTAGACTTTAGGTGAAGTCATACCTGGTCGGTTTGGTGTGAGTCTCTCCACCAGCTTGGCCTTCTCCTCCGTGTGCTGCCGGTGAGGGAGTGTGTGGTGTGTATGAGGGAGTGTGTACAGCTCCTTTTTCAGACAGTGCCTCTCCATCGCCCGCACTGCCTGCACCTCTCTCTCTTTCATTCTCTCTTTCTGTCGCTCCAGCTCTCTCTCCCTCTCCCTCTCTCTCTCTCTCTCCCTTTCCCTCTCTCTCTCCCTCTCCTTCTCTCGCTCTCTTTCTCGCTCCCTCTCTCGCTCTCTTTCTCGCTCCCTCTCTCGCTCCTTCTCTCTCTCTGCCTCCTGAGCTCTCTCCTTCTCTCGCTCCCGCTCTCTCTGGCGAAGCTTATCTTCCATCTGCAGCCTGTCGGAGGTTCAGACACACACACACACACACACACACACACACACACACACACACAAAGGGTGTGAGATGCAACACTCTCCACAGGAACATAAAGAACACACTCAGAAGGAGGCAACAGGAACACAGGGAAGTGTTGATGCTGTTTACTACTGAACATGAGGAGAAAAAGTTGAACAGATTACAGTCCACATGGACTGTGTGTGTGTGGGGGGGTCTGTATGTGTATGTATATGTGTTTGCATTGTTTATGTGTGGGGTTCTTTGTGTAGGGGTGACTATACATATGTGTGACATACGTATACAAAACAGGATATGTGCCATTTTCAGTGCCGCCAATTTGCTCATCACGAAGTCTTCACAAAATGTAAAGGGGTGCTGCTGAGCTCAAATGATGTAGAAAAATAAAAATAAAAAAAATGGAGATACTTGTTTTTTTACTGTTTTTATTAATATGCATATTTTGAAGAAACAGAAGTGACTATTTTAATCTTGATTAAATTCTAATCCTTTGTTAACACTAGAAAGGCTGAAATTCCATAACTATTTAAATGGCCACAGAGGTCATTCTGACCTTTAAGTAACATAATTTTGTAATAATTTAAGTCAGGGATCAGTAGATATAGGGGTTTATTCTGGTATCACATGACATTAAAATTTCAGAACAGTCAAAATGACCTCTTCTGCCTTTCTAGTCTTAAATTTTGCCCTGTTTATCTGTAATTACACCACAACAGTAACGTCACAGAGTGTGTGTCTGCAGCATGGGACTATTTTAAAGCTGCTCTATGTAAGTGGTAACCCGCAGCAGAGCACGCACACCATATTTTAGCATGTTTTACAGAACATGAAAACAGCACAGCAGCTACTTTTAATATTTGCAATGACAAGCTAATTAATACAGACGTGACATTCATCGTCCTAGTAACAGTGTTAGCTACTCGGCTTCTTTCTGCATTAGCCAGCTAGCAGACAAACACTCACTTTGGAGACCACTGCTGGTGGTGTAGTGTAGTGTGTAACACTTCTGCCTTCTATGATGTACACTGGAGTTCAATCCCCGCCTAGGCAAGCACCCTGCACTATACCAGTAAAAGTCCTTGGGCAAGACTCCTAACACTCGCCCACCTCTATAAAAATGATCAAATTGTAAGTCGCTCTGGATAAGAGCGTCTGCCAAATGCTATAAATGTAAATACAGGCACTAGGAAGCAATTTGTGATGACTAAATTTTTAATTGTAGCCAGAGAATCCCTTTAATGAACCTCAAATGTGCATTGTCTATTATACATGAAAATACAAATACTGGATACGAGCATTAGCAGATACTCAGTATTGAAGGACTGGGATCAGGGCCAAAACCTTGACATCCCCTGTATAAACTCCTCATGTAAATTCCAACTGACATGGAAAACACTGCTACCTCAACCTTGGCACACTATGAATGTCACAGTGTATAAATCTATTTGAGTATGTATGTGTTTTTTCATTGAAATGTATGTGTGTACACACCTCTCGCTCTGCAGGGCTGTCAGAGACTGATGGTTGAGGTCTGGAGGGTAGCGGACCCCCGGCAGGTGGAGGTGAGCAGTGGACGGATGGAGGGAGGGCAGGGCGCCCCCCGCTGGCAGCTGGTAGTAGGGCGAGCGCAGGGCAGATAAACAGAGGGACTCATCCATTCTGATCAGCAACAGCAAGAGACAAAGAGAGAGAGAGAGAGAGAGAGAGAGAGAGAGCGCGAGACAGAGCAGCTCATTAGTGCTCCTGCTGCTGCATCACTATCTATATCTGCTCACTTCATTAACCTCAGCACTCTCTGCACCCACACACACACACACACACACACACACTGAGGCCAACATCACAGCCTATTTCGGCCACTGCTTTTTAACCTTCACTGACACGCACGCTGAGAGTGCGTGTGTATTTAAAATGTAGGACATTTAAAAGGGAACAGACAAATAAAAACATAAATCTGTAATAAATTATTAAAACCCAAAATCAAAACAACACTACTAAATAAATATTGGATGAACAATAAGTGTTGTATGTGAAGAGAAAGAGAGAAACAAAAGGAAAAATAGGAGACAGGAAGAGATGAGAAGACAGAAAGAAGAGAGAGAGCAAAAAAAGAGACAGAAACAGAGAGTGAGTGAGTGAGTGAGTGAAAGAGAGAGAGAGAGAGAGAGAGACAGAGAGAGTGAGGAGGACAGGGAGTGCAACTGAGAGTGAGTGAGTGAGTGAGTGAGGAAGAGAGGGAGAAAGAGAGAGAGACACCAAAGGAGAGTGAGAAGGAAAATGTATGTGAATGTGTTTTGTGGATGGTCAGTGGCTCAGTGGTTCCATATACTTTCATTTATTATACCTCTACACCATATACAGCAGAAAGGCAGGACGTCCCACCCCACTCCCCAAACACACACACACAGTTGTTGACACACAAAGTAGGAGCTGTTGAGCTGGTGTTTTGTGTAAATGATTGCAACATTAACCTGAGCTGAAAAGGCAGACGCTGTTAATAAAAGCCAACAGTATTTTTCTTTTGCGAGGAGTGACGTCACTGGTCCATCTCAGCAGGTTTATTTTAGGTATTTTTCTCATGATAAACTTACCAGTTGCCAATGAACACCCAAACACAAACAAACAGAAGTTACAATTTAGTGACATGACAGTTTTATGACTTTACTATTTTTATGACAGTTTTATGAGTTGATGAGGGCTGTTTGAAGGCACACAGACTCACCTGTAAGAGGAGAGGGCAGGGTGGGGCAGGTATCCTGAGTGGAAGTAAGCAGCAGCAGCAGCTGCAGTACCAGGGTCCAGCCCTAGGGGGAGCGAGGGAACACGCAGCTCCTCAGCAGAGGAGTAGGGGCGAAAGCCACCCCGCAGGTATTCCTCTGGGACCCCTGCGGGTCCCGCCCCGGACTGCAGGACATGAGGCACCTGACGGGACAAACTGATACAAACAGATTTGCCCATGATTGAAGCTTTATTTCAATTTATGTAAATGATCCACTCTTTAAAATGATGCAATAAAAGAACCACTTTTGGCTCCCTAAAAAGGTTTTCTTAGGGAACAATTTTTGTAAATTGAGATGCGCAAGTGTGATGAGGATCCTTCAAATAATAGTAAAGGTTCTAGACCAATTTTTACCTACACTGTTAAAAATACAGGTTCCTAATTGGTTCTTGGCTTGCACATACAGTTCTAGAAAAAATAAAAAAAGAAGATTCTTTAAACTTTTAAAAGACTTTTTCACACTCGTATATCTCATATATAAAAGGTTTTTAGGTTCTTTAGTGAATCCAAATGGTTTATCTATGAAACACTTATTAGAACCTTCTTTGACTCATTATTAAGTGTATACACTCTTAGCAAAAAGTGTTTTATATAGTACAAACAACTTTCTATGACTCGTAACAACAGCTGAACCCATTTTAGTGCTATATAGAGCCTTGCTTAAAAAGGTTCTTTAAAGGATCATTTACAACACTGTGTTGTTATGTTCTATATATAAACATACATAGAACATCATCTGTCTTTTTGACAGAAGAATAATAATATTTTAAACAGTGTTTAGAACTGTCCGTCCTAGCCAAGAAGCATTTAGGTAGCTTTTAAACAATGTGCAACGTCATGTTATATGTCCTAAGCATGTGTTGTACTTACTTTAGTGCTTGCAGACGAGGGTCCTGCATTACTGCATTGGTGCTCAGACCAAAAGGGAAGGGCGCCCCTATGAGGTGAGGAGGAAGAGAGGCAGGGCTCTTCTCGTGGGTGGCAGGAGGAGGGGGAGCAGGGGGGTCTGAGGCCACACGTCCAGGATCACGTCCAGGTCCTCTCAGCCCTGCTTCAGACTGCAAGCGACACACAGGAAACAAGGAACAAGAGTAAATGTTATACCAAAACCTCTCATCTTCATTGACATACAGCACAGTCCATAAGTAACCGGACAGCTTTAAATCGTTGTTGTTTTGGCTCTGTGCTCCAGCACACTGGATTTAACATGAAACATGCACTAGAATCCAGACTGCTTAGTTCACCAGTGTACCTTTGCTTCTTTACAAAGTTGCAAGCAGTTGCTTTTGTCTATTTTGGCAATACCTCTGACTGATTTATTCTGATGGCCTGCTTTACATGCACTGGCACTTCTTTGCTCATCATATTGAAAGACAACAGCAAGAGACTCCAGTAACAGCCTGACAAGAGGTTAGAATCCAGCATAGACCTTAAATCCTCTGTCTTATGTATGTACTAATGATGTGATGACACTGTGTTTTACTCCTATCCCTGAAATGAAAAGGGGTAAAATGTGTACATTCTTAGGTCAATCCTATGCAGATAAAAATACCTTCAAATTAAAGTTGACATTCTGCCCTTTAGCCTTATTGTCACTGCTTTATTTTAAATTCAATGTCCTAGAGTAGCCAAAGCCAAAACAACTGTGCCCCTGTCCAATTACTTACGGACTGCACCGCATCCCTGTCCACACCCTTCGACATTGCAACAAGACAACAAAGAGACACAGACAGAAAATGTTTAAAGGGTGGAACAGTCAGTAGGTGGATGCAAATCACTGTACATTTTGCATAATGTCTTTATCATGAAAATGTGATTCAAAGCAGGCTTTCTAATGATGACTACAGCGATCCCTTTCCACGGCATATGACAAGAATGAGGAAAAGCATGGAATTAACCCTGGAAAGCAATATGTAGTATTAAACTACTATTTCTGTATTGAGGCACATCAACAGTACCAGTGTGAGTATGTGTGTGTGTGTGTGTGTGTGTGTGTGTGTGGTCAGGCCCAGGGCGGAAGAGAAGAGTCCTGCTTTAAAGGCGGCTGCACAGCCAACAGAGCGGCTCCTTCCCTCCACCTCCTCTGGGCAGCAGTACAGAGGGCTCTTTGTGTGTGTGGAGAAAGGCCGGTTTGATCCGGGGGAAGTGGGCATTGTCTAAAGTGCTCCCCCAGTGACTGCACGGCCAAATAGGCTCACACAGGCACACAGAGATCAAGCACTGAACAAACAAACCCATCAAACTCATACACACATACACAGAAGACAGAGAAGCAGTAAACCCACAGCGTGCCCCATTCCTTCTTATACTACCCCTTCTGAACCACAGTTTACCCAGTAGGAACAAAAGGCCAGTTCATCTACACACACACACGGGTTTGTTTTTATACAATGTCAGGACAAGAGGTCATGCATATGTCCCATATGTATTATATATAATCGTTGTTGGGAAAAAACCTCATATCTCCAAAGATCTTATTGTACGCCATTTTGGACCGTGTCTGTTGGTGGTCTCTCATGTGAAGTTTTGCCTCAATGTTAAGGGCCGCTGGCATGTTCTAGCAATGAAAGAAAAAAAAAAAGACCTAAAACTTTGCCCTATACATAATATATGTAAGTACCTATATGTAACATGTCCATTTTGTATTAAGTAACTGCATAATTACATTTTTCTTGTGTTTGTTTTGGATCTTTTCTGGCATAATTTGAAACTGCCAGCTGCTTTTTTCATAGTGGCAAAATTTGCAATAAACAGAAACAAAAATGATGGCGGTTTAAGAGGTTTAAGATTTTGAGATGCAATGTATTGTTTTAACAGTGGATATATTAAGTACCTATTTGTAATAATAATGTCCCATATGTATTATACATATTCATGTACCTATATGTTATAAAAAATAAGCCTAATCCTAAATTTAAACCTTTTCTCAGTTTAAAAAAAAACAATGAAACACAACTTTTGTAGAAAAGCACTGTACAATGTTTGTTAGTCCTGTTATTGTCGATTGTTTTACAAAGTCTGAACATTTTGTCTTAAAGACTGAAAAGACACACACACACACACACACACACACACACACACACACACGCACGCACACACGCACACACGCACACCATCCCTAGCTTCTGAATCACTTCCCTTTACAGTCCCATGCTAACAATCCTTATGCTAACAATGCACAGGATGTGAGCAGAGACAGTGCAGGGAGACCAAAGGCGGAGAGGAGGAATTGGAGAAAGAGATAAAATAAGAGAGGGATGAAAACATAATGAGTCCGAGCCCGTCTTAGCAGAAGCACATCATCTCCTTACAGCCCTATTTTAACTGAGGAGAGAGATGTCCATCAGATGAGACAAGCAGAGATTAAACACGTTAAATAAGACAAGAGACAGAAAAGAGAGGGAACAATTCAGAAAGATAGAGAGAGAGAGAGACAGAATGAGAAAGACAGAGGGAAGAGAGAGAGAGAGACAGAGATGGAAAGCGAGTGAGCATGCAAGAGAGAGGAAGAGAATGAGAGACGGAAGCAAGAGAGAGCAAGAGATACAGAGAAAGAGAGAGAGATTCATTGGGAAAGAGAGATAGAAGAAGAAGGAGAACGGGAAAGAGGGAGATTAAGTGTGTTTGGATAGCTCAGACAGTTTGATGGACTCTGGGTAAATTTCTGTAATGGCTGACAGGGTGGATGTAGATTGATGATGGAGGACTGTGCTTTCTCTGACCTCTCAGAGACCTCACCCATACACACACACACACACACACACACACACACACAGAGAAAGAGAGAAAGAGAGAGAGAGAGAGAGAGAGAGAGAAAGCCCTTTTTTCTGCATCTACTCATCCATAAGTCAACAGCTTCCTTCAACACCATCAACTGTTTTTTCCCCCCATTGTTTTTGGACCTTTTTTCTTTTTTCTATTATTCACACTTTCATATTTTCCATATGGAAGCTCTGTCTCACCTGTCTCCCCTCACTCCTCCACAGACCGTTAACTGTTTTGGTCGGTGCGATGGTGACCACTGGTGGGGTGCTGGACACACTGTGGGCCCCAGGGGGTGGAGCCAGAGGACCCCGCTTAGGCGTACCTGCTGGAGAGCTGTGATTGGTGGCTGGGGAGGAAACTGGTGACGATTCACCACTGATGGAGGCGGGGCCTGAGAGACAGAGAATAAGAAAAGTTGTTAAACTTTCACACTATCGGCATTGGTGAATCGGTGTGAAAACAGGTCAGTACACTGTGATTGGAAAGGACCTCCACTCCAGTGTGTGAAAGTCTACACAGTGCAAATAAACATTACCATTTCCTGGTGTAATTACAGGATGTAAAAAATAATATACACTTAATAACATATACTGCAAGCAAATACGTGCATTACAAATCATTTATGCCTCCAGCATTAAAACAACTCTTACATAAACATAACAAACCCTGACACTAATAAATGCACACCTACAGTACAGTTCTACCCTGAAAAGAACAGATCAGATACTGTATATGGTTCTATGTACATTCATACAAATACAGAAACCAAAAAGGGTTCTTTGGAGCAATATCACAGAACAACAACATTTGGTTCCACAAGGAACCCTTCAATAAAGGGTTCCTTGCAGAACTACTATTGTAAATGAGATGTGTAAGTGAGGTACCGTTTCAAAGTAAGGATCCTCTACAGCATGTAAAGGTTCTACACCAATTAAAGGCTTTATCCAGAACTTTACACCCAAGCCAAGCACTGTTAAGAGTCTATACAATTCTATGACTATTCTACAATATTCTACATGTACAGAGAGAATATAGCTGCTTAAATATAGCCAAACAACACAGTAGAGGCATCATCAAGTCTTACAAGCTAGAGATATTCACTCCCTGCTTTATAACTACTGTCTACCAGTGAGATGATAAATCCTCTGAATGCTCCGTAAACAGCTACAGAGATGAAGAAAAAAGAACAAAAAGAGAGTAATGGAAATGTAGAGATAAAAGATAAAAGGGGAGAGGGGAGATAGGAGAGATTTTGTGTGTGTTTGTGTGTGTGTGTGTGTGTGTGTGTGTGTGTGTGTGTGCCAGAAAGAGCAGGCAGCCTGTCAGATAAAGTGTACATGCATCATCACGTCTATGGCTGCCAACTTCCTCACTATCAAAGCCCTCGTCTCAGTGTCAGATCAGATGCCAGTTTACAAAGATAAAGAAACAAACAGTGATTATAATCTCCCTGCGGTAAACACACGCACACTCAGATTCATACACAAACGCACACTCTTCTCACCTTCTCGCACCGATCTGCTTCATTTTTACTCTTATTAAAGAAAACCTGTAGCAGTGGGATGCACACGTGTGTGAATGTGTGTATGTGCGTATACTAATCCTCTTGACTCCTTTCTAACCACACACACGCCTTACACACTCCTGGAAAACAGCACAAACGTCAAGCATGACAGGAGGCCACGCACAACACGCTCAAAGCTATGTGTGAACACACACGTGAACAAAATTATCATTAACTGTATGAACACCTACAGTGTCCAGTTGAACTCTGTAACTGAATTCAACACTGGACATTTTTCTGCTGTGTGTATTTGCGGGTGGACAATACAATATTTACCTTTATTATGAAAAGTTACATCACAATACACTTTTCTGAGCATATCATGAGTACTTACAGAACACTGATCACATGCATTGGTTCTTGTGTGTCTGCTCCAAGTCATCAAACCTCAGAAAAACTAGATTTCATGATAAGGGATGTAAACTGATTTAAATGATTAACCATTAACTAACTGACTGTTTGACCAATGTTATCAGTCAAAAAAGGTCAGCGTAATTTTATTTCATTTCCAATAAACAGCTCCTATCTGAATAGGTGGTTTTATTCAAATTGAAGAACATTTTTTAAGTGTATACATGAGGGCTCAGTAGGGGACTGGCTGTGCTAGTTAGGCCTACTAAAAAATGAAGTGCACTGCTAAAATAGTGGCGTTCAGGAACCCTTTTCAAGACGATAACAGCACAACTACAACATTCACATGCAATAAGTCAGAAAACTATTTTGTCCAGAGAGAAAGTGTGATGCATGATGGTGTGAGGAAATCACACACGTCCAAAACTATAGAGAAAGACGTGGTGGACAGTGACATCTTTCATCTTTTTGAGGTACAGTGAGCCCAGAATAGTCCCAGTCATGGCATGTATGTTTACTTGAATTATTATTAGTTCATTATTCATTATTAGTAATGAGTGAAAAATATAACTTTACAACTTTAGAATATCAAACTTTCTGTAGCCTTTTATTATACAGTGGTGTGAAAAAGTGTTTGCCCCCTTCCTGATTTCTCATTCTTTTGCATGTTTGTCACACTTAAATGTTTCAGATCACCAAACAAATTTAAATATTAGACAAAGATAACACAAGTAAACACAAAATGCAGTTTATAAATGAAGGTGTTTATTATTAAGGGAAAAAGAAATCCAAACCTACAGGGCCCTGTGTGAAAAAGTGATTGCCCCCTAAACCTACTAGCTGGTTGGGCCACCCTTAGCAGCAACAACTGCAATCAAGCATTTGCGATAATTGGCAATGAGTCTTTTACAGCGCTGTGGAGGAATTTTGGCCCACTCATCAGAATTGCTGTAATTCAGCCACATTGGAGGGTTTCTGAGCATGAACCGCCTTTTTAAGGTCATGCCACAGCATTTCAATCGGATTCAGGTCAGGACTTTGACTAGGCCACTCCAAAGTCTTAATTTTGTTTTTCTTAAGCCATTCAGAGGTGGACTTGCTGGTGTGTTTTGGATCATTGTCCTGCTGCAGAACCCAAGTGCACTTCAGCTTGAGGTCACGAACAGATGGCCGGACATTCTCCTTCAGGATTTTTTGGTAGACAGCAGAATTCATGGTTCCATTTACCACAGCAAGTCTTCCAGGTCCTGAAGCAGCAAAACAGCTCCAGACCATCACACTACCACCACCATATTTTACTGTTGGTATGATGTTCCTTTTCTGAAATGCTATGTTACTTCTACGCCAGATGTAATGGGACATACACCTTCCAAAAAGTTCAACTTTTGTCTCGTCAGTCCACAGAGTATTCTCCCAAAAGTCTTGGGGATCATCAAGATGTTTTCTGGCAAAACTGAGACGAGCCTTTATGTTCTTTTTGCTCAGCAGTGGTTTTTGTCTTAGAACTCTGCCATGCAGGTCATTTTTGCCCAGTCTCTTTCTTATGGTGCAGTTATGAACACTGATATTAATTGAGGCAAGTGAGGCCTGCAGTTCTTTGGATGTTGTTGTGGGGTCTTTTGTGACCTCTTGGATGAGTCGTCGCTGCGCTCTTGGGGTAATTTTGGTCGGCCGGCCACCCCTGGGAAGGTTCACCACTGTTCCAGGTTTTCGCCATTTGTGGATAATGGCTCTCACTGTGGTTCGCTGGAGTCCCAAAGCTTTAGAAATGGCTTTATAACCTTTTCCAGACTGATAGATCTCGATTACTTTGTTTCTCATTTGTTCCTGAATTTCTTTGGATCGCAGCATGATGTCTAGCTTTTGAGGATCTTTTGGTCTACTTCACTTTGTCAGGCAGGTCCTACTTAAGTGATTTCTTGATTGAGAACAGGTGTGGCAGTAATCAGGCCTGGGTGTGGCTAGGGAAATTGAACTCAGCTTTCCAAAGATGTGATAAACCACAGTTAATTTATGTTTTAATGGGGGGGGGTCACTTTTTCACACAGGGCCCTGTAGGTTTGGATTTCTTTTTCCCTTAATAATAAACACCTTCATTTATAAACTGCATTTTGTGTTTATTTGTGTTATCTTTGTCTAATATTTAATTTGTTTGGTGATCTGAAACATTTAAGTATGACTAACATGCAAAAGAATAAGAAATCATGAAGGGGGCAAACACTTTTTCACACCACTGTACATTCCTGCCATTTTGTCAACTTTTTAGTATGTGCTCACACAATGATGAACATACTACAGGAGTCAGCCCCTCAGTTCTTACGTAGGGCATGTTTAATGTGGTTTCAGGCTATTTACTTCATATATTACACGCCTGGCTCTCCTATCAGTATTACGCTCCACGGTTCCTAGAAGGAACACTTTAATATCTCAGAGCAATAACACAGAACTCACTAGATGTGTGCGCTTATACAACCCCAAATCAGAAAAAGTTGGGATGGTATGTTAAATTAAAATTTAAACTGAAAACAGTGATTTGTAAATTATTTTTGACCTGTATTACACTGAAAACAATACAATGCCACATTATTTGGCGTTTTACCTCATGAATGTTTTTTATTTTAATTTTGATGCTTGCAACATATTTAAAAAAATTGGAAGAGTAAGGCATTTACCACTTCGTAATGTTGCCACTTTTTTTCACAACACTTAAGACGTTTAGTGACTGAAGACACCAAGAGATGAAGTGTTTCAGGTGTAATTTTGTCTCATTCTTCCTGTAAACAAGTTTTAATGTGTGCGGGGTCTTCACTGTCACATTCTGAGTTTTAAATGCACCACACACTCCCCACTGGTGGCCAGGTCAGGACTGCAGGCAGGCCAGTCCAGCACCCGCACCCTCTTCTTCCGCAGTCATCATTACAGCCTTTGTAATGTGTGCAGAATGTAGTTTTGCATTGTCTTATTGAAATATGCACAGGCGTCTGTAGAAAAGATGTCATCGTCGAGGCAGCATATGTGGCTCCAAAATCTCTATGTACTTTTCAGCATTAATGGTGCCGTCACAGAAATGCAAGTGACCTTTGCCAAAGGCACTGACACAACCCCATACCATAATAGAGCCTGGCTTTTGGACTTCTGCTGGTAACAGTATAGATGGTCCTTTTTGTCATTGGTCTGGAGCACACATAAAAGACCTGGAATAATGATTCATCTGACCACAATACATATTTGCACTGTGTGATGGTTCATCTCCAATGAATGAATGAATGAAATGAACCTTTTAGCCAACTGTGTCTGAACACATCGGAATTAGACCTCCACGTTTAACCCATCCGTGCAGTGAAACACCACATACACACTAGTGAACACACACACACTAGGGGGCAGTGAGCACACATGCCCAGAGCGGTGGGCAGCCCTATCCACGGCCCCCGGGAAGCAGTTGGGGGTTAGGTGCCTTGCTCAAGGGCACTTCA